TGCCTCAGTTGTCTGAGACGTGCCAGCACATCCGTGAGGCGTCTACAGGGAGAGAGAAATCCCCTTCCAAGTTACCTTTCAGACATGCCTGAGAAAGGGTGCCTGGCGGAGGAGGCCAGGGAAGGCAACTGAAAATAGATGTTCCTGGAGACCTCAGCCAACAGAAGTGCACCTGTAGCCTCGGGCTCTTCACTCCACCTCCCCACGGAAGACAAGATGCCAGTTCCAGCCAATGCCGTGAATGTATCAGTGGGTTCAGCTGAATGGCAGCTGTGCTGAATTTAGAGAAGTGTGGGATTTCTCAAGGGCAAGGTAGCTGGATTGGAAAGGATCCTCTTTTACCTCCGGGGGCCTTGCTTCAACAACCATGTTTCTCTCTTTCGAACTCAGCCCTTTAATAAAATAAGAAGGATTCTACGCGTCACCTCAGTGAGACTCGGTGCCTCTCAGAAATTCAAAGTCCCCAAATTAAATCTGCGTAACTCGCTTGCTGTTTGGACGCAGGTAATTGTCCTAGTCAGATTTATTAGCTCTGTCACAAGAGCTTTACTTATTTCTGGTATCCCCAATCCAAAAGCTTGAGAGCGCGGCATCAATCTGTTCCATGTGTGGGCCATCGGGTGTGTTCTCTGGTCAGGGTGGGGCAACAAATGAGACAGGCTGTTGGTGTGATTCAAAATTGAGTGTTGTGGACCCTCTGGGGCCGTGTGTTTTCAAATCTGTTTCCTTCAATTACATCGGTCTCATTTTTCCTTGGTTAATAAAATACAGAGCTTTGGGGCTGACTATTTTTGAGTGTATCTGGATCCTTTGTGGAACCGGGGAGTAAATCGTCGGCTTCTACACAAGGTGGCACCCTGTGATTCCAAGCAGGTCTGAGAGGAGCGATGCTGCTAAGAGGCTGAGCCACAGCCACAGTTTTTGTTCAGCATTTGGTTTTCTCACTGTTGTAAGTATAAAGGTGGAAGTAGACATTCGCCGTGTCCCCTTTGGGGAAGGGGGTGTCTCTGTCCCTATGTCTCAAAGATCCAGAGTTGCCTCAGTAAAGGGCACTGGAACCAGGGGGCTGATTCCAGTTGATTGTAATGAATGCAGAGCCCACATTCAGATTTCACATGAAAACAACGGAGCTTTATTGGTATTGGGCTCATTCCTGGGAGCCCAGGGGGACGGGTGGGGATGCAGTTCACATACCAACCCAATTAACTTCCAATTGGGTTTGCTGAAATAGGGAGCCAATTAGAAAGAATGTGGCATATACAAAACTCTGAAATAGTTGAAAAGCAACTGTGTTTACTAGTTTTAAGGTTCTTTTCGAAAAGTAACTCGCTCATTGTTTGGAAGCTGCCTGCCCTGATCATAGTATGGGGAAATGGAAACTGGAATATAATCTCAATTCCTGCAGTTATTTGACTTTTATTCTAATTTAGACTACATTTAGACAGTGATTTTGTTTTCGATATAGCTTTAAAACTATTTCTAATTCTTGGGTGTTTATTTATGATGCTTGCCTGGCTAAATGTGTGTCATTTTGAATTGGTCCAGAGCATATCTGAAGTGGACTGATTTTAGAATGACTGCACTCAGTGCACTGTATGTGGAGATTAAAATAGGCTATTAGGCTGCACAGTCATTTGAAACAGGTTTCGACAAAGACATTTTATAACAGGATCTACTTCAAAGGTTGAAAAGATATGTTCTGCTTTTAGCACCAACAAGTATATGGGTATTCAACAAATAGATTAGAAATAAACTTTATGAAAAAGAATATTTGTATACAACTGAAAGCTACTTTCCAAATGTGAAACAGAGGCATTCTGGTTTGGGCACCGAATTGGAAGCCAAGAAAACACAGGCTGTGTCTCACTTGAAAAGTGTATTGTGTTATCTGCCTCAAACTGTTTTATTCCCAGCTCTATAACCATTGCCCACAGGGGAAAGAGGAAAATAGAGATTTGAAGAAGAAATCTGTTACATGGTCCAAAGAAAAGAAAAGAAAAGAAAGAAAAGAACGAACTAGACAACTACTGTAGCAAAAACCCAATCATGTAATAAAATCTCAGATTTTAAAAAGTTTCTTTGAATTGCTTTAATTGGGTCTAAAATTTCTATGTTTAAAGGTAGGAAGCTGGAGAGTAGAGTGGACCATAAGGACAAATGCTGGCAGCAATGGCTAGGTCGGGTAACAGGCCGGTAAGGTCTGATGAGCACCAAGCTGGAGTGAAACAGGGTATCAGTCTCTTGAGGGGATGTTATCAGTCAACAAATATATATTAGGTGTCTGCTATGTGTGAGGCACAAAACCAGGGACAGAGTGACAGAGAACAGATGCTGCCCCTGCCCTCACTGAGGGCACTGCATCTGCAGGCTCTGGGTGATGCCCTCTATTAGCCACTGGAGAGCAAGGTGGCCCTGCAGAGGAAACAGGAGTTTTGGAGTCAGGCTAGACCTTGTTTAGAACTCCATTCTTCAAGTTATTAGTGTTGAAATTGGCAAATGATCTGAGTTTCACTTTCCTTATTAGTAAAATTATATTTCTTCATAGCATTATAATGAGAATTAAGTGGAATTCAATTAATTGATATGTATATATACATACACACACACACACACACAGCACCACTACAGTGGCTGGTATATTATAAATACTCAACATTTCCTGTCCTGAGAGAAAGTCATGATAAATATAGGGCACGGAAGAAAGCTATCCTTATTGAATCTGACAAGTGCTGGGGGCACCCAGATGAAAGCTCCAGATGACTCACTTCTCCAACCACCTTCAGGCTTGAACAGTGCTGACTCCCTCCCAACAACACCTTTTTCTTCCTTGCAGAGAACTGGAACTGCTCCAGCGGGTAGCACTCAGAGCGGGATATGCCCATACGCTTGAGGAAGGTGTTGCTCACAAGAAGTGAGTCACAGCATCTCCATTGTTTCCAAAAACAGTGGATGGAAAACACTCGAGCCCAGCTAAACAATGCGTGCAGCCTTGCTGGGCCAAGCAGGGTAGACTCTTTAGACGCTGCCAGGGGTCCCTATTCACCATTTTACCTGGGGAGGGGGGAGTGGAGAGAAAAAGGAGAGGGAAGGGGTGGAAGGAGAGGGGAAGAAACGAATGAGCAGGGGGAGCTAACGGAGGAAGAGATGGAGTCATTTTTTATAGAAATGACTGTAGGAATCAATTTCCCCACTTCTGGACTTCAGCAAACCATCCCCTTTTCTCTGAACTAGGCAGAATATGGATCAATTATTAGAAAATGGTAAAAATGTGTTACACTCTTCCTAGGGATTTTGCAAGGAAACTGTAATGCTTAAACACTAACCAAGAAACTTGCCTAAGTGGGGCTGATGCCAACAATACTTGTTATATTTGAGTCAACTTGATTCTCCCTCCTCTTCAGAACTTGCTCTAACCAGCGCAGCCGCACGAAATGTGTCTCCTTCCTCGGAACTCTCACGGCAACTGTTGCCAGTGCCGCTCACTTGGTAATTAATCACGTCCCGCTGCCTCGGTACCTCCTGCACAGTTGTTTTGGTTTTGCTCTCCTTGCTCTTTCCCGGTGCCCCGTTCTTCGACCATGTACGTCCCGGATTGTTACCCATCTTCCCAGCGACCGGTCACCGCGTGAACGTGAAAGCTCCGGGAGGGCAGGGGCGTCCTCTCACCCTCTTTCCGCGTCCACAGCGCCCGCCCAGCGCTTTACACGCACCCGCCCCTTCGCCAATGTTGCTGCTTTAGTGAAACTTTGGGTTCAATTCTAAGGAACGATGATGTTTTTGGAATCAGAGGAATATCTACCATCCACGAACTCACTCTCAAGTTCGGGTGACAGGTTCACGCGCACTTGTTGCGTCTGGCAGCCTCAAGCGTCACCCCTCGGCGCTGCCAGGAGCATCCTCCCGCGAAGGCGAGGCGCGCAAGGTGGCCCTACCTGGGGGGTTTTCGCTCGGGTACTAGAGCGAGCAGGCGGGGAGAAGGCGGGGACCGCGCGAGCGTTCCAGCGGCGGCGACACCCGG